GTGTTAGCAGCATTAGCAGTGTTAGCAGCATTAGCAGTGTTAGCAGCATTAGCAGTGTTAGTAGCATTAGCAGTGTTAGCAGCATTAGCAGTGTTAGTGGTTTAACTTCATCCAGTGGGTAATGGGATATTTTGCTAACACACAGACAGTTCAATTCAGATAGTTTTAAAGAAATCTCATCTGTGATGCGACACAAATATTATTAAGTTCTTCAAACATTAAAAACAAACTTCAATAAAATCATTCAGTTTGTTTTTAGGCAGCAATAAATCTGATCAGATTCTCTCAGAATTATTTGTATTTTTTTGTGCCTGTCAGTTCTTCTTCCCCCACATGCTGATCAAGTTTGACATCGAGAAGGAGGAGCCTGTCAGAAACTCAGAGGGTCTGTGCATCGAAGCAGCCACAGGTGAGTCGGGACAGCTGCGTCTCACCTGAGTTTGACCGTCAGCTGCTGGTGTTGGTCACAGCTGAAGTTGTTCAGTGTTAGTAAACGGCGTTTCCCTCGCTCTCCTTTGTGTTGGTCAGGCGAAACGGGACTTTTGGTCGGAAAGATAACTTGGAGGAGTCCGTTTGTCGGGTACGCCGGCAACACGGTGCAAACGGAGAAGAAGCGCCTCCGAGACGTCGCGGAGAAAGGCGACCTGTACTTCAACACCGGCGACCTGCTGCGGTTCGACCACGACAACTTTGTGTATTTCCAGGATCGAGTGGGGGACACGTTCAGGTGAGATGTGACTCGTTTAGAGTCGGGGGTGGGCGGAGCCAACCTGGGTTTCAGTATCGGGACATAACATCAATAAGCTGGTCTTTTTCAGGTTCTGAACCGAGGTTTATTAAAACTTTTATTAAACAGAAGCACCTCCATCAAAGGAGCAGACAGGTGTGTGCTGGCACCATGACAAGATGGAAAAGACATCAGCAATGACCTGAGAGAAGCAGTAGATTTCTGGTTTGGAGCAGAAAAATAATTATTGACATGTAGAAAATATTTAGAGCCTCTGAGCATCTTCTCTGCAAAGAAAGTCCCAGTAAATTCACCCCAGGGTCAGACCGTGCAGTGCTGAGAGAAATAGTTTCCGTCTCAGACTCTACAGGCCTCAGGAGGCTGGAGGTCAAAGGTCATGACAGGACAATTAAAAAAAAGACTGAACAAGCACGACTTAGGTCAAGACTTAAGAGTTAAGACTTAATCCACAAAGCTAGAAAATAAAGTTTTGTCCTCATAAGTGAAACCTTAAAACTGAAGGATGGATTTTCTTCCCTTTTTTCTTGTTTTTTTGGATCAAATCCGATCCTGTTTTCATTGTGATTGTTGTTTCTGTTCAGATGGAAAGGGGAGAACGTGGCCACGTCGGAGGTAGCGGACGTTCTCACTACGGCTCGCTGCGTCTTAGAAGCAAACGTTTACGGCGTTAAAGTAGAAGGTACAGAAAACGAACCGTTGCCACCAGCCTGGTGTTAAATGTTGAACGGACCTCTCGGCCCGGAGGAGGACTAAACCCTCATGGTCTGTGTGGATCTCTGTGATCAGGTCACGAGGGGCGGATCGGGATGGCAGCCGTCACGTTACGAGACGGAGAAGACCTGGATCGAGCAGACGTCTACAAGCAGGTCGTCAACTACCTCCCAACGTACGCAAGACCCAGATTTATACGGATCCAGGTAAAAACGGACTTGTATTAATTATTTTTTTGGTGTTTCTTGAACACGGCTGAGCAACACAGTCAAATATCAGTGTTTTTAAGCTGAAGCAGCTTTGATTTTTAATGAGCTGAAAGAAAAGCAGCTTCACCTTTACTCCTAATCCCAGGAACACTTCAGGGGCGTGGGGGAGGGGTGGGGGGTGTCCGTCTCAGCGGAAGGCGACATGAATCAGACATATTTAGGCCCAGGACCCTTCAGTGCCTCAGCGGGCCGGCTTTCAAACCTCTCCTTCGACACGTGGGGGGCGGGACGCTGCTCAGCTGAAAGGGTCCCACAGATAAAATAAAAACTCAAAACGTGTCGAATCCGACAGGAACAGGTTGGATGAGGAGGATGGATGGAGGTTCAGACAAACACCATCGTGTTGGTGTTTGAGACGGCGTGTGGACGAGATGTTTGTTGTACAAAACGTGAATCTTTAATTGTTTAAACTGCTGTTTTTTTTATTTCAGCATGTCAGACACACAGATGACCAGTTTTACACTGAAATAAAGCCTCAATCTGCTTAAAAATAAGAATTTTAAACACTAAAATCGTTTTTTCCCTCTATGCGACCTGATCTAAAGTAAAAAAGTAGAAACTTGAATAGAACATTGAGGCTTTTTTTATATTAATTTACTATTAATTCTCCGACATTGCTTAAATGAAAAACTATTGGGAGCTCTGACAGTTAGATGTAAAAGTGTTTTTCTTATTTTTGAGTAATTGTTGTGAAATGTTTGATAAATTAAATAAGTTTTTAATCTTGTGCTAATAATCTGATTTCTTCTCAGACGCTGCGTAGAAAACGATGTAAATAAAGAGTTTTCTGTGTTTGGTGGGTTACCAGTCTCTGTTTTTTTTCGCAGCCCTGCCTGGAGATGACGGGAACGTTCAAGATGAAGAAAGTGAAGCTGGTGGAGGAGGGGTTCAACCCGGCGCTCATCCAGGACCCCCTTTACTTCCTGGACTCAGAGAAGAAGACTTACGTCCCTCTGACGGACGAGATCTACAGAGCCATCATTTCAAAGGAACTCAAACTTTAACAGAATCGAAGACATAAACAGCCGTGGACTCCCGTCTACTAATCTCAGGGACAGACTTTGACATCACAACCTCCTCAAAAAGACTGTTTTTTTTAATTAACAACTATTTTGCACCTTTTACAGTTTTGAAGCTCCCTAAAGTAGACATTTGTTGTTGTCTTTTAGATCCTTCTTAATACAAACGTATCTTATCTGACTCTGAAGGCGGGAAATCTTTAACATGTGAGATTAACTGGATTTATTCTTATTTAAGCTGGATTACTCCAGAAACTTGTCTTTAAATTTTTTTTCCCTTAAAGGAGCAAATTAGTGGAAATTATTTTTGAAACCAAATATTTGTTGTCAAATAATTCAAACTGGATTTTAGGACTTAAAGATGTAGGAATTATGATGGAAGATCAACAGAATGAACAGACGTCACCAAACCAGCTTCATTTCATCAACATGAAGAAAAAAGTAGAAATTTCAGAATATTAAGACCATAGTTTCTAAAAAAATATTTTTTTAAAGTAAAATGAAACCAAGTAGCTGAAAAAAAACCTTGTTTTTCCCTCAGAGCTCCAGCAGCCTATAGACAACAAATCAGAGTTGAAACAAAATGACAAATCTAAATTATCAGAGAGAAACCCAATCACTACTCATGTTGAACCCACAGTGAAGCACGGCATTGGCTGCATCATGATGTGATGTGAAAATAATCTCTAATGAGACTCAGGTGTGTCACGAAGCAACCAGAGGCTCAACCCAAACATCAGTTTGTCTCAATCATTTTAAAGAAAGAAATACGAAGCTACCACTTCTGCTCTTTACGCAGAGCAGGCAGACTGGTTGGTGTGAAATTAAATACGAGTATAATGTAGTAGAATCATGAAATGCTTTGTGTTTCAACGTTGTGTGCAACACACACCAGTTTGACCCTGTGACTACCTCTGTTAACGAGTTCTTGGTACGAAACACTGAAAACTTTACGCCAGTAAAAAGGTAAATCAGGCTCAGCTTGAAGGGGATTTTGAGGAAACGGGACATTAAACTTTAAAGGAAATATTTGGGGAGACTTAAAGATCCAGACATTTAAAAATGATTAGCTTAAAGGCACAGTGTGTAGGATTTTGTCAATTCTTTTAGCCAAAATTGAGATAATCACCAATGACAATAATAAAAAACATGTCTAATCATTGCAGACAAAGACTTTGTTTTATTATTTTTACCTTATAAAAAGCTGTTTATATCTCCATGGTCGCGGGTCGCCACTACAGGCAGCTGCCATCTTGCACCGCCATCTTGTCGACGAAGGCTCATGAAGGACAAACTGCGGTGGCGGCGTCAAAAACGGTTTTAGTTGTAATACGATAAATGTAATATTTGTTGTCTGTCATTGTAGCTGGGATAATTTTACTTATTAAMGCTCATAATCTTACCACTTGAAACATCACTAGCCCTGAAGCTGCTGGTAGACATCGCRGTTGGAATTATCAAAGGTTTTTGACACCTGAGAGACACCGTAGTAACTCCTTTGCGTTTGGAAGCAGGGGGTGGGGGTGGGGGGAGGACCAGTGAGGATGATTCAACCACTCAACCACTAGATGTCACTGAAAACAACAAATCCTACACACTGTGCCTTTAAGAAAAACTAATGATGGGAAAACAACCGACTTTTTGTTTCCAGGAATCAAACGTCTAGACAGAAAAACTGTAATAACTGGCAAAAAACATATTTTCACAGAGTTATAATTTAAAGCAGACTGTTTTAGCCATGTCGCTGCTCTAACACACCTGAATCCAATCATTTAATCACCACTCAGAACATCAGCAGGTTTAGCAGATGCCTCTTGTTTATTTCAATCAGGTGTGTCGAAGCAGGAAAACATCTAAAACAGGCAGAAATAGGGTTGAAAACTTCTGATTTAGTCTGGATTTGAAGAAGAAAATTGGTCAGTTTTCTTTATAAAACAGTCATTCACAATAAAAACCCCAGACTAACTGCTGTGTGAAAAATAATCCTGACTGTTCAGCTGCTGATTAAAATCTGTGATGATAAACTTTAAAACATGATGCAGCTTCTCAAAGCCAAAAATACTTTTGGGTGTGTCGAAATATAAAACACACGGAAACCTGCAAAAAAAACAAAAAAAACAAACAAAAAAAAAAACACGTGAATCCAATAAACCTTTACTTTATAAATGAATTTATTTAGTAATACAGTGGTATACTTAGAAATGTGTTGCAAAGAAAAACAAAAACAAAACTGAACCAAAGTAAAACCAAATAAATAAAAAGAACGTCAGCCACACGGGAAAGTAAACTAGTGTTGGGTTTGAAGCCGTGTTATCATATCAAAAGAAAAATAGTACTGATGTGCCATAATAAATTGTCTATTAGTACAAAAATACATTTCAGGGCACACAATACAGCATCCAGTATCACAAATAAAGGAAGGGACCACTCGTCACAGCAGCCCCCCTCAAGTACGTCTTTTTAAAATCAGTTAAACCAAGCACTTCTCTAGTTTGTAAATAAGAATAAAAAGTTTTCTGACAGTTAAAAATGCCTTAAGTCTTGTATCTGTTTGTGTGTCTGTGTTTACGAGTGTGTGTTGGTAGAAAAGTCAGACTTATTACTGCTTATGTCAGTTCCAAGGCTCAGGGGTATAACCAGAATACAAACATAACCAATGTAACCACTTTCTCTTGTTTTTTTTTTTGGTTTTTTTTGCTTTTGTTTTTTTAAACAAATGTTTTTCCTCTTTTATACAAAATAACAAAGATGTACAAAAGTTCATTTACAGAGAACCAAGGCCATATGCTAGCAGTATGTACAGCCACGATATCATCATCATCATCATCATCATCATCTAGCTTTGTGTTGTTTCCTCAGACTTCAGATGCATAGCAGTAAAACAAAGCATACCGTTTTTTGATTTTCATTTTTTTTCATCAGCCCCGACTTATTCTCGTGTGCTAAAAATCCAGAGTTCGCTGTTGGCGAGAAAAATGCGGACAACCCTTTTTTTTCCTCTCCTTTCCGTGGTGATAGTGTTGTTTATAATTATTTTTTTTACAACTCAAGGATCCGATGTTTTGAAAGTTTGACTGAAAAGTTAATATGCAGATAAGGCATCACTGCTTGCAGTGTAACGATGGGGTTTTCATGTGTTGAACTTAGCAGTAGCAGGCGTCTGGACCTGAGTCGTAGCACATGCATAGATCTCTAGACAGCAGGAGTTTGTAAAATCAAGTCAGTATATTTATCTACGAGAAAAACTTTTCTACAAAAACAGCAGTTTAGTCAGAGAGCGCTCCGCCCCGAGACGAACGGGCTTCTGATTGCTAATACTTAACGTTCCTTCTTGGTTATTTTTCTACTCTTTACGACGTTTTTTTTTTTTTCCCCCTTCATGGAGCGAAACGCACAACCTCACAAGTTTTATACACAAACTTTGTTGTGAGTTTTTGTTATTTTTCTTCTACAGTACACAAAAATCTCGTTGCAATATTAAATAAGTTTCCAAAATTTCTTCTTCGTTCCCCCCACCAACCCCCCTCCCCACCCCATTTTTTTATTCTTTCGCTGCTCTAACCTTTTACAAAAAATTAGCTAAAAATGTCAAAATGAGATTATTCAGTCTGTGGCACCTGGTCATGCATTCCAACTTCAGTCCTTTTTGTTTAAATAACTTCTGTTAATGTTTTGTTTTTTTTGCAAGCCTTGAAAGCACCGAAAACAACTAAAATAAGTGAAACTAATCGGGAGTACAGCTTCGTCACTGCCAGACTCCTCTGCTTCTCCTTGTGTGTGTGTGTGAGAGAAAGAGTGTCTTTATTATCTTTTTGTTTGTTTGATTTTTTAAATTTTGGGCACAGTAAACAACGTGAGAGGATGGAGTTCATACTTCGTGGAGCGGTGCGAGGGAGAGCAGCGGGAGGAGGAGGGGGGTGGGGCAAAGGAGGTCCCCCCCCCCCACACACACAGTTTCTCACATTCAGTAACAGGCCAGCTGTCGCCCTCTTCAGAAGTGGTCAATGAGCACAGACACGCAGTTTGCACCCACCAGGTAGTTCGGATCTCCGGGGAGAGATTTGTTCTGCCAGGTTTTAGGATCACCTGCAGGAAACAGAAACTCGTGTTCAGCTGCTGGACCTTTAAAAAACACAAACACAGTCGAGACAAGCGTCTACAGTCATCACTGTAATGAGAAGAATTACAGTATATTTAGCTAAAACTGAACTTAAGGCACATTATAGAACAAAAACAACATTTTCAGAGTTGTAAAGTAACTACCGGTAAGTACAAATACTTTGTTACTGTACTTAAGTAGAAATTTTGATTATCTGTCCTTTACTTGAGTTACTATTTTTCAGCCTACTTTTTACTTCTACTGCTTACATTTTCACACAGTACACAGTACTTGAGTACAAAAAAAAAATCAGATACTTTAAGACTTTTACTCAAGTAATATTCTTGGAGGACACTTTAACTTTTACCAAAGTAATTCCATGATAAGATACTTTTACTCAAGTATCACTTTGAGGCACTTTATACAACACTGAACATTTTTGATGCTGCTGAAAGTTTCAGAGTCACCTCGACATGATGCAGTCGACATTTAGAGTCATTATTAACCAGAAAAGGTTGATCCAAGAACAAAACGTGTGACTGCCTGAGACAGAGCTGGGTGGTACACCGGTTCACACCAAAAAACATGATTTATTTTTGTTATATGAATTTTTCGTATAAACACCCTGAACAATATTCAGAATGGCCCGCCCGCCAATAAACTGTTTTTCCACACATGCAGGAAACAGAACAGCACAAGGAAAGCTAGTGTCGGTGTTGAGTGGTGGAGAGGGACACAAAGTATAGAAAGATGTGGCAGACTGGACAGTTGAGGGCGATGCCCAAGAACTTCAAATACTGTATTGTTTCTACTTTATGAAGTTATTTAAAAAAAATCCAACAGTAGGATGTTTAACAAATGGATATTTTACAAAAACTAATAAAGATTTTGACTTTAATTATGCAACTTGTTTCAAACAATAATTTGAAAATTTCTATTTTCCTGTTTCTAGAGAACTCCGCCTCCTTTGAATTTAAAACCATTTTGTGTTCCGGTAATCATAGTTCATATGAATCCACCAAAAGAAGCAACAAAACAGCAACATTTTAAAAAAGTGAAGGTGGAAAAAAAGAAGAAGCGACCATTAAATTATCCAACAAATTCTCCTGTTTGATCAAAGCCCACAGAACCCAAAAGGACAGAGAGAGGACAGCGTACCCGACGAGGAGTCGGAGGATTTTAGAGCAAAAGACCAACCATCAGGGGTCATAGACGCACAGTGAGGTAAACGGAGCTCCACCGGCTTCAGGAACTTGAGTCCATGAGGGCCACACATCACCAGCGGACTCAGCAGCGTTTCTCCTGCACAGAAACGTGACGACACTTTAATTCACTGAAGTTAGACGTAAGGAAATTAAGCCAGAACGATGGATGATACTTTAGCTAATCTGGAGGAAAAGGAGATAATCTGGTGCCAGGTCATCCTGGTTAAATAAATAAATAAATAAATAAATAAATAAATAAATAAATAAATAAATAAATAAATAAATAAATAATCTAAATGTATCAACAAAATAAAAGCCTAAGTTTATAAAACTCTTAATTTGAAGGTCATAAGCACTCCCCAACATAACGAGGATGAAGAGGACTGACCTTTCTCCTTGTCGAGGGGGGGCAGGATGCTGTTGTCCCGGCACACCTTAAAGTAGATCTCCTGCTCCACGCTCTCGGGGATGGCGCCCTGGGGAATGATGATGCTGACGCCTGTCTCGATGGAGCTCAGGACCCCTCCGTTACAGTTGAAGATACCCCGGGCGGTGGCCACCACTGTGTGCCCTTCGTCCTCGTCATCGTCGTCCAGAGCACTGGGGCTGAGGGACAGGGGGCAGACATGTCAGCATCATCAGTCAAACAGAGAGAGTGGGGGTGGAAGCAGAGATGATGAACAGCAGAGGACAGGAGAGCCCACCTCCTGGGTGCAGGAGTGTGCCTCTCAGCAGCTCAGTGATGAGCCTCTGCTGCTCGCTGCGTCTTACCTTACAGGGATGGCCTTAGGAATGGCGTTGATGTTATTGTGCTGGTATTTGGGCCTGTTGTCCATCGTGCGCGTGAAGGTGTCCAGGCCGCTGTCGTGATCGAGGGGCTGCGGGGACAGCTGGGGTTTCCCGCTGCTGTTGCTCACCGCGCCGGGCTTACCCAGGAGGTCCGTCTTCACCTGCGAGTCGTTGGGCAGCAGGTTGTGGTTGAACTTTGGACTCTCAAACTTGCGCTCGAAGGGCCGCGCTGCGCTGGTGTAAGGCTTGGGGACGTAGCGGTTGTAGCTGGTTGGGAGGGGAGCACCCAGAGTCTTTGGGGGCGCCACGTCGGTACCGTTGACGGGGACTTTGTCGGGGAGGCCCCGCGGCGGCGGCAGGTAACCACCTGGTGCAGGCTCGTCCCTGCTGGTCGGCCTGAGTGCTGCCAGGTCAGGTTTAGGGTTGGGAGAACTCAGTGGCTCAGCTATAGAGTTAACTGGAAATAAACAAAAAGAAAAAGCAATCACTAAAAGTACTGACTAAAAACATTACACACTACTACTTGAAGTTTAGATTTTAACGGTTTTAGTCATTCATAAATATGATTTAGGGCAAATATGTCCTGATATCCACGAACAAACTGATCCCAAGTTTATTTAAGATAAACCTACAGCATCAAGAGACATTTGTTTACCATGAACCCTGGGGAGAACTGGAACTGAGGTTATATGGTGCAGAGGATATTTCATGATAAAAGTATCATATGATGCAGTCAAGAATAAGTACTGGTGCTCAGTGAGTAAATAGAAAACAAAATAAGGATGGTGTAAGTTTCAGTTATGATAAAGTTCAGGTTGAAGTGTGGTTTCCCGAGTTCTACCTTCCTTTATAAAATAATGATTTTATGTTTTATTAATCCTGAGAATTTAGAAAAATGCTCTTCAAATGGCTGGAAAATGAATAGTTTTGAGTAGATCTTTTACAAATTTTATGGGGACATAGACCCCTGGACCCCCCCTAGAACTGTTTCACTCCACAGCTGCTTGTTAACATGAGCAGGTGTTCCTCGTTGCTGTCAGCAGGTGTTGGCAGGTATGAGGCAGGCTTCTGGTGTTCTGTTTCAAATTAATTTTTTGTTTTAATTGGACAACTTGGATTCTAAAGATAAGAAAATGATATCAAAAGACAAAACTTTTTAATCTAGTATGTGAATGTATAAATCAGAAGTGAGATTTAGAAAATTGCATAATGGGGGCTACCTGAAATGTTGGCTAGGGCCGGCCCTGCAAATTACTGATGAATTTGTGGTAACAGGTTTGATTTTTCACTTAAAAATAATGTCTTTAATATGCTGCAACATAAGTTTTTTTTTTCTCAACACAGTCCATGTGTGGCAGGGGTGCCCAAACATTTTCCCCTAGAGGGCCAAAATGAAAATCTATCCATGGCTGCGAGCCAAATGCAGTGATATAATACATGAAATACAAATACTTTTTAAAGTAAAGTCCTTTATTTTTAATGATTAAGCTATGCAATGTCCCTCTTTTGTTTTAGTCTGTGCACTTGAAGAAAGTCTGCCATATGCTTAAGTAGCAAAGGCTCATGGGACATTTCATAAATTGATAAAATATGAGTTTTTGTGGCCTTATAAAGTGTGCAAATCTACATGTGGGGTTAAATCTGATCTAAATATTTCTTGTCATTTCAGTGTTTCATGTTTAATCCTAATAAATCAAAGATAAAGTCAGCACCATGAATGAAAACTACCTTCACTGCAGCATTTTTATATAATCATTTGACCAATGGAAATACTGTGTTTCTACACAGGATGACAGGTTACAACCTTGTAACATTGGCAACTGTTGGTGGGCCAAATCAAATGATGTGTGGGGATATAAAATGTAGGCGAGGAGTTTCCTAACAGTAACAGCGTAAAATAAAGCCTGGAGTGTTTTTGGTGATGAAACCTGTTGAAGCTGCAGTGAAAGACGGACTGGAACAGAGCCCAGCAGAAAGCTCCTCTGTCATTTAACATCCCAGCATTAAAGCTAAAAATCTAATCCTCAGCTCTGCTTTCAGACCATCTGACTTAGAAATGTGAAAATAATTGGACGTTTCTTTCTTACCATCTGTTCTATAGAAGTGTGCATCAGACTAAAGCATATCATCTCTGCTTTCACAGCAGAATAACTTTATTTTACACAAACATCTGACAAAACACCACCTATTAAAGTAACTGCAGAAGCTTCAGTTGGCCTCATGAGGCAATATGTCTGAAATATCAAGTTTCCTGAACTTTTATGTACACACACCAAATCTCCTTGGTTTTTCACACCAAATGAGATGTTGACTTTATTTTAATAGATTTTATGTTTTTTATAATAGGGATGTTTTTCCAAACAAAGGCCAAACAAACAAACCATCATAAAAATAATAAAGTTATTTCTCACCCTCACTGGGGCTAAGTTTGGGCAGCGTGTTGGGGGGAATAGCAGGAACTGGGGGTCCATACTGTGTGGAAGGACTGATTTGAGGTAAGGGCTCGTATCTTTTCTCCACCGGGCTCACCTTCTCCATAGACTCGACTCTTTGTAACGAGGAACAAGAAGAGTTAATAAAACAGCTGTTTTTGACCGCAGAGCTCAGGATTCTTGTTAGTGGGCCAGAGCTGCTGGCAGTGGGGGTGGGGAGCGTGCTGATATACCTGTTAAAGGGGTAGGACAGCTGGGCTGGTTTGGGCAGATCGTGGAAGCGGTTGATGCCAGGACCCGGTTGGCCCATTGCCTTGCTGTCAAAACTGCGGCGATCAAAGTAGGACAACTGCTTCCTGTAGTACTCCTCGTCCTCATCTGGGTCATAATGGTTGGAACGCACCATGTCATCCAAGGGCTTAGTGTGGGGCTTTTGTGGCTCAGGAGCTCTAAAAAGAGAGAAAACCCAAAACAAAACAAAACAAAAATCAAAACAGCAGCAATCAGAAAGTATGACTGACCTGCAGAGTTTTGGTCAAACTTTTATTAAATAAAATCAGTTCAACCTAAATGCTACAAAAATGAAGGATGAGATAAAGAAGAACCAATAACACAAAGTGATGTTTGAGAACAATATGAAAATCTCTAACAGGATAACAACATCCTCACTGGGTAGAAAGCCTCTCCTCTGGGACTGACCTCCACCAGGTGGTGCTAAAACAACCAGAGCTGAACTCAAAGACCCTGAATTGAAGTTCTCTATTGTCCTTCATTCAGTGAGTCTGTGGCCAGGTGTTCTGTAGTAGAGACTGCATACCTGTACGTGGACCTCTCCTGCTCCAGGTTACTGAGGGAATTAGCTTTGAGGACGGGGGCAGGAGCGCTCACAGGTTTGGGAACATCTGCAGGCTGGAAAACAGAAAACAGGCTTTGTTTTCCAAGGTTCCTGCAGTTTAAGGCAAGTTCAATTTAAGACTTTTTAAGACTTTTTAAAGCCAAGTGAAATCAAATTTAAGACCAATTTCACAATAAACACAAATGACAAATAAAATAAAATAAAAACTGCGGCAGAAACTCATGAATCAAAATATTTTTGGTTGAATTATTCAAATATTGCTAATAGACCAACTGTTTTTATCCATATCTAAATATAGCAAAAACATTCTTAGCAGTCAGTGTTAAACTTCATTTAACTTCTGGAAATCCTCTACCTAAAATTTGTAGTTTTATGACGCACAGTGGGGTCTCAACCCCAATTCGCTGTAGATGAAACCTTAAAGTGCTTGTGACATCAAAAATTGTTTTAAGAAAAGTGAATGCATTTTTGGAAAGACATTATTAACCTGTTAAAAAAACAAATTTCACATTGCTCAGATGGACAGTTGTTGAGATATTTGCATGTGAAATAACAGGAAGTGATGTCAAAGGGGAATGTCTGCATGTGAATATTTAAAAAAATAAATGTTACCAATTATTTTAGTATTTGAGACAAATTAGTCATCCTACTTACAATGTGTTCACATTTTTAAGACTTCTTAAGATTGATTTAAGACCTTTTAAGACTAATTAAGGTTTTATTTTTAGATTGATGAATTCAATGACTTTTAAGACTTTTTAAGGATCTGCAGGAACCCTATCTTTCTGCACCTGGTTGTTTTTCTAATATAAAAAATATGGCAACAATTATGGCTCCTTCCTGACTACTGAACTAATATAACACTCTGACAGAGAACAGCAGAACATCATTAGTATACTGTGTACTTTGTGTTTAATTCACTCTTTAATTTTTAATGATTTAAAATGAGATTTTAGAGTCAGTGATGACTTTAACATAACTAACATTAATTGTATTCATGTTCTGACTCACTGAAGCAGAGTTTGACACACAGAGGTGACGCTACACGCAGAACGTACCCTGAGGACTGATGACTCCCCCTCTTTTGCCCTGTCCATAGAAACAGACCGTTTATTCTCAAACATCTTGACTCTGTTGAGCACCGACTGCGGTTTCATGGCTGGATCTTCGTCCAGGTCTTCCCGCGGCAGAGGAGGAAGGGGTTTGGAGCCTGGCGTAACTGCTGGCTCACCTGGGGAGGGCAGAGCCTCCGGTTTGGGAAGGGGGATGGTGGGTTCGGAGTTCATCATGGGCTCATGCATCCCTGGCTTGTAACCCCGGTTCGGAGGCCCAGACATGAAGGTGGGCCTTAAACCGGAGTCACCGTAATAGTGCTTTGGAGGCTCCGGTGAGCGAGGCGAGTTGATGGGGAAGCTGCGAGACTCTGCCTCGTAAGGAGAACGGGCGTCGTAGCTTGCCAGGGGTGGGGGAGGCGGCTCGTCGTAGCGTATCGGTCCAGGTTTACTGTGGCGCGGTCTGCCGTCCAAGCCCGCTGGCGGGGCTTCCTCGTAGCGTGGCTGAGGGGGGCTGTAGTCTCTTCCCGGTCCATCCTCGTAGGGGGAGCGAGGGTTGTAGCCTGCGGGTTGCTGGTGGCTCGGCTGATACCCGGCGGGCTGGGAAGAGGAGGTCTGCTGGTCGTATGGGGGCCACTGTTCGTTGTAATGAGGCACACGGTTGTCGTAGTGCAGGTGAGAGTCTGTGTTGGGAGGCTTTGGTTCTGTGTAGCCGCCTCCATCGTAACCGTAAGGCGGGTGGTCGTACTCGTGGTATGGCTGTTTGTCCTGGTACGGAGGCTGGTGACTGTAGCTCATAGACTGCTTCAGACTGTGGTTGATTCGCACCGGGTCCTCCATATTGTACAGATCTTTCTTGTACATCTGTGAAGAAACAGAGCGAGTTGAAAATCTCCAATCACATTACCATTAATGAAACCTACAAAGTACAGAAACTGGTTTAAGTACAAGAGGTTTCTCAGCACCAAATGAAGAATAAATTACAAGAAAATAAACCAAAACCTCAAGGAACCAAATCATTACAAATAAATCCTGCATCACTTATTCAAATTAAGATGAAGTCTTTACTCAAAAACAGCTCTGAATGCCTGTTTGATAAGATGCCTTTCAAGAATGATCAGAATTCATGTAAAAAGGAGTGAATTTTACCAAGTTAGCCCGTTTCACTAAGCACTAAAACAATTTGCACATTTCTGAAAGGCCTCATTTCAAACATGATGTGTAGCCTGTAGACAGCAGAAACACAGTACTTCCTATGGAAGAAGGTGGATTTGCTGGCGTCGATTCAGAACAGAACTTCAACAGGAAACAAAATGCCGTGCACCGATGGGTTCATTTTTCCATAGAAAGAATTGCTCAGTTGAAGTTATTACCAAGTTTACTGTCTGCAGGTTAGGTTTCATCATGCAACAAACATTCAGTTTGCAACTTATGAGACGTCAAACTACTGGCACTACTACAGACAAAACACATCTACCCACTATGATGCCACTGTCAGTGCTGCTAGTGTTCGTCTACAGAAGAGTCAAAGCTGAAAGGAGCCATGCAAAGGAAGTAAGAGGCAACAGTTAGGGCTGGTTGTGGATGTCTTCACCCTGGTCAGAGACTCAGATGCACCAGTCCTTCTGGTCTCCAGCCCACTGTGGTGCATGTGGACTAGTGTGTCGCACATTTTCTCTGGGATCCAGAGGCACACAGTGGGCTCAGTGAGTCACACAGTGTGGACATGACATGCAGGAGCGAGTGGAAAGCATGTGTGAGAAGACAGGCAGTTACAAACAGCAGGCTGTGGGGGGAGGGGCCCAGGCCCGGTCCGAGTGGCTGGTGAAACAGCGGGTACCTTTGGTTCTGGACCAGGAGGTCCAGACAGGTGGGGTTCGTGTGGTGGAGGTGGTGGTGGGGGCTGGATAAGCTCAGGGGCAGGGCTGGGGCTGTTAAGTGAGTCAGCCTGAGGAGCTGCGGCTGCAGCAGGCGGCTCCTCTAGGTGCACACCCTCATGCTGCACAGGCTGCTCAACAGCAGAGGGAGCTGCCACCGTCGGAGGCAGCGAGGGCATGGGCAGAGCAGCCTCACCTTGCTGTGAAGTATTGTTAAGAGACATTTTTAACACAGCCTGCCAAGGGCACACAAAGTACATCTTTACCCCAACACCATGAATCTTACTTACAGCCAGAGTTTGAATAAACAACATACTTGTATCTTAACTAAGAACAATAAACATTAAGGGGGGGGGGGGGTATTATGCACAATCAGCTTTATATCATGTCATGTCATCAAGAACATACCCAGAGTGTTGCTTTCATGTATGTGTGAGAAATCCCTGAATCTTCTGTGGTAGACATGTGGAGCTGCCTAAACACTTGCTGGTACAAAGCTCCTCCCTGGGGCTCAGTCTGCCCCACAGAGCACCCCTCCCCCACACAGCTCCACCACTATTGGCAGCAACAACTAGCAAACACCTGGTGGAATCGTACATCTGTTGAGCTTCTTCTCAGTCCTTTTCTTATAAAAAAAACTAGGCATGAACCAATATGAAAATTTCAGCCAATACTGATATCCGATATAATTATTGCTATTATGGCCGATAACTAATATTTACTGATATTACACAAACACACAAATTATATTATACATATACTGTACACACAAACACACTTGGGTCTTTTTTTGATACCGTACATAAATGACCAGACCTCTGACATGGTTCAACTTCAGTTATTCCTGGCTGCACAGCATCAGTATCACCATTATGATCAAACAGATGTCACTCAACCAACCATGTCACCTCCCAAAACCCAAACACAAAGCTAAAAAGTAGGAAATCAATATCGGATGTTAATATCGCCCCAGTTTTAAATGTCGGCCAATACCGATATGAATGCCGATATATTGTGCATCCCTAAAAAAACCCTTGAGGTGAATTTTAATTTTGGATGCCAACTTTTACAACCCCCCTACAAAAAGTTGTAGTGATGACGTGCTGAAGTGGGAGCACAGGAAACGGTAGGAGGTTCTTAAAGAGACAGAGGTGAATTTCAAGGCATTTAAAACAGCTATGATGCAAAGTCAGATTTATTTTTGATACAAACAGCTTTTTCATAACAACTGAAGGTAACAGTTACTTGAATGTGGTATAGAATTGAATTATGTGCCTGGAAAATACATAATACCCCCCTTTAAAAATAGGGACACAACACAAAATATAACTGAAATTTCCTCTGCTTTGTATTTGTTTACATTTAGCAATACATACATTTTAGACTAGCACAGCCTGTAATGAGCCGCCAACAACACAATACAATGACTTTACCTGCTGTGGAGCGGCCATCTTGAACCCAGTGGGGTCCATTCGACTGGCCGGGTCGGGCTGCACAGAGTGCTGGTATCCAGGATACCCGGGTGTGTCTTGTATCACGGGGGGGTCTTCTCGCACAGGCTCTGAAGAGCGGGTGATGGCGGGCTCAGTGGGCAAGCCCACCTCATCATTCAAAGTTTCATCTAACTCCTGGTCTGTGTATGCTCCTCCCTCAGTGTCTGTGTCCTCATAATCAGAAGTGTGGCGGCTGTCTGTGCTATACATGGAGTATTCACTACCTGGCGCCGATAGGTAGGACAGACGGTCGTCGTGGATGTCCAAGTCGTCCTCTGTGGTGCCGTCCGCCTGCGCAGAGCAGAGAAACTGTCAGCGACATCTCACCAAGCTGTGATAAAAAAAATAAAAAAATAAACCATCGCCGGGCCTCACCTTGCCCTCTGACACCCACACCAACTGATTCTGCTGCTGCTGGATGGTTTCTTTCAGAGCGCCGTACCATCCATCATTCATATTGTTCAAGTTGATGGTCGCTAAGAGGGAATAGTTGCACAATAATCACCCCACTAGGAATGAAATCATGTAAAAAAAAAGAAGCCAATTTCAGTTCTAAAGTCAGTATTTTACGAAGCTCTGCCCACTTACTGGTGAACAGGTGGTGATTATTTTTCCTCAGTTTAATGGCTCGCTCATAAAGCTTCCTGGCGCTCTTCCTGGACTCTGGACAAAGTCTCGTCCTCATGTTCTTCACACCCTGTTTGTTGTCGGGATTTAGGAAGACTACGATCGGGTACCACTGAGCATAGTTCAGTCTGTCCACGGCGTTCGGGGTGATGTCCAGCACAGCGTGCTTGTCCTTCGTTAAATTAAAAACAAGAAGAGGGACAGATTAGGGCAGCTTCTTTGATGGGGAACTTTAAAAAGACGATAAGACACACGCTCACTCTGTCAATGATCTGTTTGATGGTGTGAAGACGAATGATTCCTGAACTACGCTGGTCGGTTCCTGCGTCTCTGGGTTCACTCTCTGAAAGGAAAAGAAAAATGAACAGATTCATGAAAAAAGACAAAAGACAGATAAAAGTTTTGCGTTCATTCAATAGCAAACATACTTGCGAGTTCAAAGAGATCTGGCTCCTCTCTGGATAGTTTCTCTCGAGCCACATCAGCGATGGGTCCAAAAATCACAACGGGTCTGAGGAAACCAGCTGCAGACAAGAGACAACAGAGCGTTACCAGATGCTGAAGCTTCACGGTCAGTCGTATAAAACCTGACAGGTTTACACTCCTCACCTTCTCTTAGTACAACTCTCTCATACGCTGGGAACTTGGTTTGGACTGGTTGGGAAGACAGGTCCTCTCTGCTCTTCCTCAGGTTCCTCTTTGAACTGCGAAGACCTCGAAACCTCCAGAAGTCGGCCCTGTCACCTCCTGCTGTTTTAGGGAGCGTGTACTGAACACTGGACAGCTGCTCTGCTCTGTTAACAGGAAGACAAAGACAGCTCTTAATACAAGCTTGTGGGTTCGTGTGCTTTTTGCTCGTTTGTTTTTTTCATTTTAAAAACGGACATTTAAAAACAAAAAATACACGGTTATTCTACTTTCATTTTATACTCCAAAAGCAGGGAAAACAATCCCTCTTTTTATTTTTCTGAAACCAGTTTAACACAGTTGCTCTCAGACCATTTAAGATGGAGCTAGTTAAATAACCTTTGGTTGGCTGTAAATAAATAAACAAACATTAGCCAACTACTTTTGCATTTCTTTAACTAACTGCAGATTGCATTTTTTAATTAATATAACTAGCTAGCTAATTTCTTTTTAAAAGCTATCTAGCTCCACCTCAATTGGTCCGATAATGGGATGAATAAATACGTTTTACTTTCTAACAAGTAAACCATGAGCCGCTGTAATAAATAAACATGAGCTGACTGGTTTTACATTTCTTTAACAGGTGTCAGCTGATCGTCTATCACTGATGATTAAACTGTTTCCTGGAGCTTCTGGTGCTTTTTAGCACATAGTGTATTTTACACCTGATAGTCTGGTAGACTCAGGTTGAATGGGGACTAAAACATTTGTTTAAATTTTCAGCTGGCGTGGTTCGCATTCACACTTCATTGTGTGAAATGAACCAAACCTCGCCTGAGGTGGCGCTGCACCAAGACCCACTGAAGGAAACACAAAAACCTCTGAAGACACGGAGCGCAACTTCCTTCTTCAGGAAATGTAACAAATGTATGTCAGATTTTGGTGATTGTAAGATTTCTCTTTTGTTTTTAGCAAATGTGACAAACAAACACTCTTCAACAATGGGCTCAGCATGAGTGGAAGATGAGGTGGAACCATGGAGCATGTTGTTTTTCACACGAGGCGGCTGAGAGGGCTTCATATGACGGCCTTCATCGAGTAGGAGCGCATCCAACTTCATGGTGGTCCACCTTATACAGATATTGATTAAGGTATAAACAAGATATTTTACTTTAAGCAATGAAGCCCACCCTAAGCCTTCTTCCAGGAGGTCCATGGTGAGGAACTTGGAGCAGGATCCACAGGACAGCGTTGAGTTTCTTTGACAACTGTGTTAAACTTCCAGTTTAATAAAAATAAAAAATAGACCATTTTTCTGTTTTTGGAGTATGAAATGAAAAACAAATAACCATCCATTTTTCACTTTTCAGTATCTGTTTGTAAATGAAAACCAACTGACCAAAACGTGCATACCCTCACATGGCAGTGATAACAAAAAGAAAGGCAAAAACTAGGATGCTGTCACCTGTTTTTGTTGGGGATGATGCCCCTCTCCACCTCCTGGTGGTTTTTGCCGATACGGATAGCGAGCCAAGAACCCAGCTTGCCGTTGTAGAGCGTGTCCACCACGCGGAAAACCTCACCCTTGTTAAAACTTAACCCATAAGGAGACTCCTTCTCATATTCAAAGTGTGTCCGGATGTAGAAAGAGTCTCCCACGTCGGACTCCACAATCCGCCGGTACACTGAAGAAGAAAAGTGAAGAAAAACGGACATCAGACCAATCTAATCACAACATCATCTACTGTTTTCATTCATCTTTTTTTACCATCTTTTTTCTTCTGAGCCAGAATGGTGACCTCTTCACCTTTAGGAAGATCCAGGAGGAATAGCACCGCCTCCTCTCGGATTATGTTAGCAAAATCGACATTATTTACCTGGAAGAGAAACCCGAGTCCACTAAATGTTTTGAACACAAACATCCATTTTACTGTATTTTTGGACTCTTAAACCTTCACTGTTCACTGAGTGCAAGACAGACTTTAAATCTCTGTTTGGATAGAGGAGTAAAATAGCTCATACTGTAGTTAGGATCGCCTAGATAACTGCAGGTTTTATTTTGCTGAAACAACTTAAAGCATTACTCGGTACATTTAGTGTGCAGAAAAGAAGGTAAAAAGGAAGATATATGAGACAAACACAGCAAGAGGAAAGAGTTTTTATGTGTTTGCTCCTTCGGGGCCATTGCTAAGAGACCAGCTTGATGATGCAGGAATTTTAAAGCAGCCTGAGTGTAAATCCACAAATTAAAAAAGGATGAATGTTGGAGGATGAATCTTCTATAAAACAGAGATATTTACAGTGACTATCAAGTAACAACTGTTAAAAGTGGAAAAGGAAAGAACTTCTTTTTTACTAAAATCTAAATTAGTTCTTGACTCTGCTAAAAGCTTGAAACACGCAACACATCCAACAAATACCCTCCAAACTTTTTATTTATTTATCAGTTTTTGTTACAGCAGCAGTATCTCACCCTGAGAATTTGGTCGCCCTCCTCCAGGCCCTCCTTAGCGGCCGGGCTTTCCTCCAGAACTCCTGCGACGAAGATGCCCACATCGTTGCCCCCGGCCAGCCGCAGACCCACGCTCTCCCCCTTTTTAAATTTCACCAGCTTCATGCTCGGCCTGAGGAGAAACACGACCTTTAAACAGACTTCCTCTGAGGAGACACAGTCTGGCATTTCTTGTTTTTAAACAGAAAGTACAAAAAAAAAAAAAACTGTTAGGTGATCGCTGTGTTGTCACTCAAATGTAAACCAAACTAACTCAAACACAATTAAAGTCCCATAATTCACTGAAGGAATCCATATAACCTGCCAGTTTTTTTGTTTGAAATTTAAACTGCTGTATATATGTGTGTATTATGCAAAAAATGTGACCCCTAAAATAACTCATAACCTTGGGGGTGGGGGGGGGGGTCGTATTATACATTGGAGTAAATTCTAATGTTCTACCATAATAAATTTAAATTTTTTTTATATACAACTGAAATATTGAGACATGGAGGATTTATCATTAAAATTTTTTCCTCTGTGCTCTCGCTGTGGAATACCTCAGTTTAGCTTGTTGGTTTGTCGCGCTAGCACCGAGCTAATACATATAAGGCAATATAGCATCGGCGCTATAGCGTGAAAGCTAGCAGGCTAAGCTGAGGTTCTTCTTCCATGAAGCAGCTCTGTTGTCCTCCATCCATATTTTCAGTTACAGGCTGAGTCATTTCTACCTTCTCCTCTCTGTCAACGCTCTCTGGTTTCATTTAAAAGAGTCGATCATCAGATATTGTCCAAGATTAACCTTCAGGGTGGATAYAGCTTGCTCACACCCAGGACCTATCCACATCATCATTTACCCAGAATGCTTTGCGTGTAAATAAAATTTACAAAACTGAACAGACTACAGTATTTTTACAGTCTTTACTTTATTGTTAAAATAAATGTCTATAAAATGAAGTCTAATGTTACAACTAATCAGGGATCCTTTTAACAAGCGATCCTAACTCTGGGAGTGGATTAATTTCAGCGACATAGCACACGCTGCTTCTCTGCAGCCACAAACAAGTGTGTGTCCCCAAAATAATCCATTTCCCCATCAGAGGGTACACTGGAAAAGCTGAAAAATCCTGAAGTATGTGTTTAAATTAGGTAAAATTTTACACAGGATTGGATTTTTATGCTTTTTAAGCTCAAAAAATGAGGGGTTGCATTGCAGTCGAAGCACATTATATAAGCCTAAATACGATCAGACCTTAAAATCATTGTAGGTGATATGATCAGAGTGTGTGTTGGGAATGACTCTCAGCTAAAAACACTCACCAGATTTTAGTTCAATATCTGTCAAATTAGCTGACTTATAGCTATTTTTGTGTTGGCTAAGGTTTCTAAAATGTGGCAGCCATCTTGAATTATGAGGAAGACTCCCAAAGTTAATCAGTTTGTTGTGCATCCAGCGGTGCATGCTTTGCTAACTTGACAGAGAAACACACATGGGGCGGAGTTTGTCCTAACCGTGATTGGTGGAGTTTGGTATATAGGCGGAGATTCTTGAGTGTGGGAGGAGTTTGGCTAATCTTGACTAAAATTAATATTTGTATTTAAAAATATATTTTTTTCAACCATGTAACATGTCTAACCAGCTGCCCCTGGCTTCTTCAAATGCCAACCAAAATAGTCAATGCAACAAATCATGTCTTTAACAAACTAAACTAACAAACTACTGCAAAACCCGGCAATCCCCCCTACCCCCCGGTCCACCGAGTACCATAATAGGGGCAACACTATATTGAAATGCTTGGAAATGAAGTATTAGTAATATTACCGTAGGATGCTGTCATCATGGGCAACGCTGGGCACCGGGGCGTCGGAAGGACTGACTGGTAAGTCTACATCTGGCTGTCCAGGCTGAGCGTACACCGGCTTGGGCTCTACATCAAAAGAAAGTCACGATCTTAACAAACACACATGATGCAGGCACACAAAGCTCACTGCAATAAACCCCACAAACACATAACTGACAAGACTGGAGATGTAGATGTACAGCTGGGAATAAGTTTGCTTCAGGAAAAAAGAAAAAAACAACAACAGAAAACACCAGAATGTTCAGAATATCACACGGTGCTCGTGCACACACAAACACTCAGAGCGCACAGTGTCCTTAGCTGGGAGGTCAAAGACAGCAGAGTGCTGCGTGCCCGCGAGGAACGTCACACTCGATCAACTCATACGGTTTATTTTCACTGTGCTGCAGGCAAACTCAGAGACTCAGCAGGCGTCTGGATTGAACTTTTTTCACGATAGTTGTGCTTTTAAAAATGGGGGGGGGATCTGGGTCAAATCAGAATTAATGTTGCCGTCACAAGGTGCACAAAATGCAACTTTCTGTTACTCAGCACCTCGTTTCTGTAACAAGCATAGATGTGAGCCACTCGAACCTCCCTTACAGACACACACATATTGAGTTTATTGGCAGGTTGTTTAATCTCTGACCTGGGAGGGGTGGGAGCTGCTTCTCCTCTCTTGTCACAGATGACTCCTTCGGTTTTGGCAGAGGGATCTCCTCCACGAGCTTCGATGGTGTCGAAGCAGGCTTTGAGGTCCGTTCATCGTCACGACTTCTGTGACTTCAGAGAACAAAAAACAAACAAACATGTTTTTTAAATGATTCATCTCAAAACGAATGGCGATCATAAAAAAATGCATCCTGGATTGCGAAGCTACGCGGCACGGTGACTCGTCTCCTGGGCCGGCACGTGCAGCTGGCTGAGAACAGGTGAAAGAACAGCTCGAGTAGGAGGCAGCATCTTATTCATGAAGGTCATCGCCTTGCCTGTCCACCCTTCGGTGCTCTATTTTTAGAGCAGCTGATCTAAGGTGTCAGAGTGGATTCTGTTCGCCAGGTGAATTTCATTGTGTGGTTCTGACTTTACAGCAGCATTGCTGGACTTCACTGCTGCCTTTAAAACACGTCAAGATGACAGAAAGTGCTACTCAGGAAGAAATAACAAGCCAAATAATTAAAAGTGATGTCATAACTTCCCCATTTTCAACTTCGTTAGATCAAGAGTCGAATACTAAATATTACTAGTTTTATATATATATATATATATATATATATATATATATTAATTTGCAACAGATCCATACTAAAAGAACTATTTGTTTTCTTTCTTTATATAAATTATGACCCAACAGAAAGGTCGAGGCGTCTCTCTCTCTGTGTGTCACTTTGATGTTTTTATAACAATGCTGAGTGTGGTGTTGTCCTCCTGCGTCTCAGTGAGCAGTTCATCATCACTCTCTTATGAGAGCACAGGTTGATTTCTCTAAAACAAACAAATACCCTGTTATAAAGCAACACAGCAACTTTTTCTGATGATAACACCATGTGATGTTAGGAGGGGATCTCTTAAATATAAAAAATATACTTTTGGAGGTTTGCCACTGGCCTCTCTCATCTGTTTCTGCTGAGTCTCTTCATGTGACCTTAAGTTCTCATTAAAGAATTATGACCTTTGAACTCTGAGGGTCAAACTCATTTTCACAAGGAGCCTAAGTTTTTTTATTAGGTTAAACTAAATTAGCTAGTTTTCAGATGTCTCTTGCCAAAATATTCATGTAAAAATTAAATTTCTTTAAAATAAAAGACCTACATCTTTTTATGTTTTTCTTTTTAATCACCATTTTTTAAAACTGTGAAACATTTTACCACAGGCCATCAAACAGATAAAAAATACATTAAAATCTAAACATAACAGCTAATTACAAGTGAAAAGACAAAAAGATATTATAGGTAAAACAAAAAATCAGACTCCAGCTGTGACGAACTGACAGGTATTTGAGAGAAGATATGGAAACCCTTAAAACGGACTGAAGTGAACTTAGAGAAACAGGTATATGTTTTTAAAATATTATTATTTTGATCACAGAGAAACATTGCTCACCCTGCTGAGCTCAGAGATAAACACTTTGTGTGAAGGAGACAGCAGCTCAGTCAGATTTTGTCACAACCTGAACCTCTCTCTTTTCTTCTTGCTATAAATGGATTAGAGAGAGGCTCAAACTGAATTTTCCCAGCTTCAAAGCAAACGTGAACTCAGTGATAAATAAGTTCTGGTTTTAAACAAACTCTGAGTCTCAACCTTCCAGATGTTCTCAGCTGCTGCAGGAGGCTTCAGACGGGCGGGGCAAAGGTTTGATATCTCTGTTTGAACTGCTGCCACACAAACAACTGAAGCTGGTGGAGATGTTTAATGCTAATTTCAACAAAAGAAGTGGTGCTGACTGCAACTTTGTGCAAAATTTGTAACATTTCAATACTGCAGGATCTTGTGGCACAAGGCTCCTTATGTTGATTATTGATTAAAGACTCTGATTGAGTTTGAAGTTTTAGTTTTGTGCCAAACCTGATTTTCATGAAAGCTGATGTTTCACAATGGACCCACTTTTAATTTACAAATTAAAAACTAAGATAAAAAGAGCACATGTGAAAAATGTCCCAATAACTCTGTCACATTGTTTGAAATAGCAGATTAAAGTGCCAGCGACGTCAAATATTTGTAATAAATATGAAAAGATAACATTATTAACATATTGCTAAAAAAATTTCACTCCGCTGAGATGAACAGTTGTTGAGATATTCACATCTGAAGTAACAGGAAGTGACATCAAAGGGGAATGTCTGAATGTAAACAGAGCATTGCTAATAGCCGACAACACATAGAGCAGAGAAGAATCTGATTTTTCTTTAGATTATCTTGAGTCACTTTGAGAGAGAAATGAAGAAGAGTCAGAATTCAAACATTAATATTTTACTGAACAAAAACCTGAGTTTTCTTTTGTAGAGTTCCCCTTTGATGTCACTTCTTGTTTCACTTTGGTTGAGCTAAATTCAAAAGAAAAAATGCCAGTAATGTGACAAACTTGGTAAAATAATGTGTGTTAGGACAAATTTCTTAAATATAAAGATGCTTTCTTTTACTTTTTGTATTTGAAGGATATGTCACAGGCACTTTAAACCTCGAGTATTGGGTTTGCACATTTTTAAATTAGCATAAAATACAAATAAAAGTCACACCTGACAGCAGGTATTCAGATGTTGTAACACAAGTTCAGCTACATCTCTAAGGGTAAAGAGTTCATGCTGGTAGCTGATGATGATCTAATGTTACTTCACGGTTGGGTCATACTGCCCTTTGTGCCAAACACGCGGTTTTACCCATGAGGACATTCAGAGGACAGAGATCCTGAGTCATCTGAAGAGGAAACTCCTGACAATTTGATGTCAGATCACCTCAGCAACATTCATCAAGTTAGGACTTGGTGTTCCACCATAACACCAATCACGATGACATAAATTCATCACTTCTGTGTGAGTGATAGCTGTGAGTTCACGAGTTTGTCAAAGTCAGAAGTCCTCTGTGGAACTACATTAAATCTACTCCACAAGGTTTATTTGTGGTACCATGAGTAGGTTTTCACACAGAGAAATGGTGCTTGAGATCACCCAGGATACTTTTCTCCATTTTGTTCAACACATTTACAACAGCCTCTAAATGGCTAAAAAAATCTAATTTGGGAAAAGCTGATCTTTACCTGCCGTTGCTGATTTGTTGGGGCGAATGTCTGGAGTGGTCTGAGGGTTCAGATCGTCTGTCTGGAGATCGAGAACGACTGCTACGATGTCTGTCATGCGATCGATTGGAATGGTCGGATGCCAGAGAATGGATATCTGAAATGTCTGGTCAAAGCAAAGTCACCGTTAAAAAAAATCTCAGTTTGAAGCACACAAACCAACAGGACGGACTTTATTCTGCTTTCACTGCAGTCCCACTCACCATCTCTGTCAGAGGCGTTGGCTGAAGGAATGCTGTCATCGAGGTCGGGGATGTTCAGTAGGGTTGCCCTGTCGTCTCTCTGAACAACCATTTTTAGTTTGCCCTTTGACCTTTCTATCAGTTTCTTGGCGTCTATCAAGGAGAGGTTCTCTGTTACTGTGCCATTAATCTATGGGATTTGGAAAGAAGAACATGAGCTTTAAAATGTGAAAAGGACAAAAAAAATTAGTTTGTTAACATTTAGTATGAAGTAGCTACTATACGAACAAACAGAATGAGCTCGAATGTGAGAGTACATTTACTTCACGTACAGACTGGCATACAGGGTTTAGAAAAGGTGAATGTATGCAGCATCATGCAGATTTTATAACCTGTTCTGCAAAACATCTATTTTATTCAGCAGAAGTCAGCCCTTCTGTCATTCTTTTCCTTCTTTCAGTCGTCCTACCTTCAGTACAACATCCCCTTCCTGGATGTTGCCATCTCTGGCTGCCAGGCTCTCGGGTGAGATGTCCTTGACAAAGATGTGGCTGGCCAGGCGCAGGCCATATTCTGCTTACAGAGTGAACGACAGCAACAAAGACGATGTTAGCACAGAGTTCACGTGACCGCGCCACACTGACAGCTGCCGCTCCCGCTGGGATTAACATACTGATTAAAAAAGATTAATTGCTCTTTTTACTTTACTTGAGTTTACTCAGACTTTACTGGAGCTGGGGAGCTTTTTTTATTTGCTCTGGCGATTAACCAGAGCTGAAGTGGAGGTTTTATTTAGTTCTGCTGGAGAATAAACAGTAGGGACAACCGAGCCACCTAAAAAAACATCTTTGCCGACGCTCCTGTCTATCCCCGACTTTGTGAGCCTCACCTTCATTTTTGCGAGATTTGACCAGCGTGACCTTGGCAGGGCGCGGGGGGAGATTGTGCGAGCGGCGGTCTGAGCGCGGGGAGAGGCTCCTCTCTCGCGAGCCGCTCCGCTCACGTTCCCTGTCCCGCCGCCCGCCGCTCCGCCCGCTGCGCCTGCCCATAGCTCCGCCCACCCCGCTGTAAGCACCGCTGCGCCCGCTCCGCGTCTCGTAGATCTCTTCGTCGTAGCTGTCCTCCTCCTCGTCGTGCTCCGACATCGTTTCCCTCTCGCCCAGCCGACCCATGGGGACGTGCACCTTCCTCTTCCGTCTGATTGTCTGACCGGAGGAGGAGAGATTTGAAGTCAGCCTGACAACGAGTCACCTCACATGAATCAATCAGCTGGTTCGGATGTTATCAGTCCATTAAATGGACGTTATTAGTGGTTATCAGTCCCATAGAATGGCTTCAGACTGTCCCGATTGTGCCCGCTAGTGGGTTACCAGTACCATATACACCGAAATGCAACAATCTGCTACCGCCAGAGTCCGGTCTACTTTATCGTAGCCCATGTCATTTTCTCTAAAATTAACCTTAGTGGCTTTATGCCTCATATTAACCAGATTGCATAAAAAAAACCTTAGTGGTTTTATGCCTCATATTAACCAGATTACATAAAAAACCTTAGTGGTTTTATGCCTCATAATAACCAGATTACATAAAAAACCTTAGTGGTTTTATGCCTCATATTAACCAGATTACATAAAAAACCTTAGTGGTTTTATGCCTAGGGATGGGTACCGAATTCTATACTTTTTGATGTACAGACCAAATTCTGTCGGTACTACCGAGTATCTATTCACGTAACATCAAACGGTACCATGTTTCGGTACCTAAACGCATCATTGTGACCGGTTTGGCGTAAGAGTGCTGAGTTTTCCATGCTTGTCCTGAACGCAGCATCATGCAAAAGCGTAATGACATCAGCAGCCGCTGGTTTAGACAGTAAACAGAGGCAGAGCACCATCAGAGCTTGGTCTGAACGTAGCTGTGGATTAATTATCTTGTGAGCATGACATTCGCTTGCTCAAAGTAAATAAAGTACCGCCACTTTCTTTATTTCATCCGCCATTAAACAGAGACGGGCAGAGGAAAACAACAGAGGAGCTTCCTGACAGTCCGAACGCGTCTGACCTGAAAGAGCACAAGCAGCCAGCTAATGTGTTGGGCGCATTCTGGATGCTCAAAATGTAGCTTGAATACCTTTTATTTATTTTAACTCCATCCTCCTTTGATTATTTGATTTAAACTTATTTGCCTTCCATGGACCTTCACACAATTTTTCTAGCGGGGAAATGACATCAATAGAAACACGTGGAGCTGGATTTTAATTTGTGCAATAAGACAAAACAGTTTTGTTTTCAAGAGTTTGCACTTTAAAGAAATAAGTTACACAACTGATGTTACAATACAAAGAGTTGGATGTTGTCTTGATATTTGTTAATTTTATATACTGAGAAATATGTTAAATAAAAAAAATAAAAGTTAATTATTGAAAAAACAACACCCACAAAGTACCGAAAATTGGTACATTTAAGTACTGGTATCGATTCCCAGGTACCAGAAATTGGTACCGCATCGATTCAAACGTCAAAGGTACCCATCCCTATTTATGCCTCATATTAACCAGATTGCATAAAAAAACCTTAGTGGCTTTATGCCTCATATTAACCAGCTGACAGTCTAACACATTCTCACTCCCGACTCGTGAACATATTGACGCTTTTCCAAAGTTCCCTCTGCGTCTTATTGTGACGCATCAGGTGACCCCCTCGCGTCGGTCCTTGCCACCCGCAGCTTTTCCGGGTTGTGCCACCAGGGGTCTTTGGGTCAGGGGTCTGAGGTTAACATGAGGGATCAGGATAAATGGTTAGGTTTAGGCACTGGGGTCAGGGATAGGATGTCTACAGCGAATATTAGGTCATTTTAGGCTTTGGAACACGTAGTTGACGTGAATTTCCTACATTTTCTAAAAAAGGTTAATTTAGGTATCAGGGTTAATGTTAATTTTAGGTACTAAGGTCAGGGACAGGATGTCTAAACTGAATAAATGTAATTTTAGGCTTTGGGACGGTAGTTTGTGTGCATTTTCTACACTTTCAGAAATTATGACAACAGATTCTGCCCCATCTCGTCAAAAAATGACGCAAGGGGAGTACCCGACGCTTCAAAATCGGACGCAGAGGGAACTCTGGAAAAGCGTCAATATGTGACGAGTCGGGAGTGAGAATGGGTTGGACAGTCTGAAGCCGTCCTATGGGACGGAGAACCCACTAGGCGGCACAGTCGGGACAGTCTGAAGCCAGTCTGAAGCCATTCTATGGGACTGATAATGGCTAATAATGTCCATTTAATGGATGATTACATCCGAAGTGGGTGAATCAATCACTCCTTCCCCTGCATCAGAGTTTCTGCTAGTTATCAAACATACGAGAAACATCCGAACTGCTGACTTGTTGAAGATGACACTCACAATTTTGGCAATTTTTCCACTTTTGCGAAGCTGCTGGACAGCGTATGCATGCTCCACGTTGTCCATAGAGACAGCATTGACCATCACTACTCTGTCATTTTCCCTGGAGAACACGAGAACACATCCTGGAGTTTTACTGGAGAGGGCAGAGTAATTCAAAACCAAAACTAGAAATCTGAAGGAGCTGCCAAAAGGAAAATCTTACTGCAGTAGGCCTTCTGCCGGGCCTCCTTTCAGCACATCCGAGATGACAATGGAGGTCTCGCCACTCTGAAAATGAGGGTTATCCCGACCTCCTGATATGGCTATCCCGAAGCCAAACCCTGGTGCCTGCACAGGAAAAGACAGATTAGGTATCTGAGAGCAAGGTGTGACAAACCCAAATGTTTTTAACCACCATTTCAAATACTCGCTATTAGAAACTTGCTCTTAACAAAGATGACAAAACGTAAGGTTATGAATATAACCACGGTACCTTGAGGGAATGGAACAAAGTACAACACACAGTTGTATATGGGACATGCGCGCCCTCGCGCACCTGGCTGAAGCCACCTCTAATCACGTCTTTAAACCGGTGACGTTGAACGTCTGGTGACAGGCTCCGCCTTCACCCTATAAGTTCGGAGTCACCAGCGTCATTACTCAGTTAGATACCACCCTTCAACGAGCCTTTGTGATGCGGGGCCAACAAGGTGTTGTACTTCGTTCCATTCCTTCAAGGAACCATGGTTATATTCATAACCTTACGTTCCTTTTCAGTCATTTCACTCAGTACAACACACAGTTGTATATGGGACTTGTCAAAGCGCCACGCAGAGCAGTATCAGACCTGAGTTAAGTAGTGTGCCTGAGTAAGTACTGTACTAATGCAGAGCTTTGGACCCGGCAGAAAGTACAGAATGAGCCACCGAAGGTGCTGTTACATCCAGGCTGTAAAATCATGCAAATGTGTTTGGTGAGGCCCAGCTGGCCACGACACAAATGTCACTCACAGGTACCCCTTTAAAAAGGGCCCAAGATGTCGCTACACCCCTGTTGGAGTGAGCTTTAACTCCAAGAGGGATTAGAAGGTTTTTGCTGCTGTATGCTAGCAAGATGGCCTCTACAATCCAGTGAGAGAGTCTTTGTCCAGAAAGAGCTTTACCTCTGTGTGGGTTAGCAATAGCCACAAACAGCTGATCACATGACCTTACATCCTGTGTGCGGCTGATGTAAGTGCGTAGAGCACGTACGGGGCACAGAAGATGAAGCCTCTTTTGCTCCTCAGATGCAAAGGGGGTATGAAAGCTGGAAAGCTCTATAGACATAGAGCTGTAACTAGCAGGTATCACCTTAGGAAGATACGCAGAGTTAGGGTGCAAAACCACTTTATTAGTAGAAAACTGGATATAGGAGGGGGTTCACTGACAGAGCGTGGAGGTCCCCGACCCGTTTAGCTGTAGCTAAAGCCAGAAGCAAAGCAACTTTATATGAAATAAACTTCAACTCTACAGACTCTAGAGGCTCAAATGGAGGGTAGCATATTGTGTTTGTTTGTGCACAAAGATAATTCTTTAATGATACATTGAAAACATTTGCAGAACTGTTTCTTAAAGTTTTGCATTTTAAAACACAATTTGCACCTAAGGAGGGGGCTACATGTTTTTTGTTTATTTTTCGGGACATTAACAGAGGAGACTGAACATTTGAAACCCGATGCCTCTTGGGTCCGTTTTCTGAAACACAAACATTTAAATGTCTTTTCAACTGCAGCTGAACATTGTCTCTCTGTTTTTGAAGTCCCTGTGAAGACAGTCCTGCTGTTAGGAAGACTTTGACTTCTTCTTCCGAGCTGCTGAACTGTCCTGATGACTCGGAGGGGGGCCTTTGCTCCATGCTGATTGATGG